TCCAGGGAGTGGTCATCCTCAACATATTTGAACAGCTCTACTTGGCTTTTGTGTTCAGGGTGATTGACGACAAACAGGTATACTGTGTCATCTGACGGAAAACAAGGAAAGCATTGTTAATACTGGCAACCAGATTAAAAAGTGTGTGTGGGTGTCTGTGAAAGTAGAGGGACACGCATGACTTCAAATAATCATCTGTGTCATATGTTCATGAGCATGAGACAGATGCAGGGTCACAGTGATATTAGTCTCGCTCACCAGACCTTTCTCAAGAAAAGAAAGGTCTGGCTGGGCCGACTGTCACTTTGAGATTGGAGAAAAAAACGCCCCGGCTGCTTGTACTTCTTTCAACCAATCACAATCGTTCTGGGCGGTGCCACAGCAACGGTGCGCTTGCAAAAATATTGCCGGGGGGAAACAGATTTTGGTGTAAGACGCCCACAAAAATATCGCCTACAGGACGCGAACCATGGCAAAAAATGGCTACATCCCCATAAGATCAAACACCGCAAAAGTTAGTAAAGGACGTGTTGAAAACGGTTGAAAACTGCTACACAACTGGAGGTGGTAGGGCGGGACTTCAGCGGTTGGCTCGTTCCGCCCAATGAGAGGCTGATCTCTGCAGCGAACTTCCGCCCACTCAGACTACAGTGATCTTGACCTTTAACCACCAAAATCTAGTCTGTTCATCACAAAGTGAAGGTTTGTGCCATATGTGCGCCAAACATGAAGAAATTTCCCTAAGGAGAAATCTTGAGATACTGCGTTGATAAGAAAGAGACAGCCGGACGGACAACCTGAAAACATACTTGACAATTCAAAAAAGGAAACGTACTGATTGTGTATATTTCTATATAGATTTCATCTGAAAAATACTGAGACACCCAAGATGGTTCAAGAATCTTTGCTCGATCTATTACAAGATCGAGAAGATCGCCTGCTGTTAATCACAGCAGGTGATCACAACAGGTTTGTCCAGGTACTCTATCTATCAATCGATCAATCAATCAGTCAATCAGTCAATCAATCTTATTTATAAAGCCCAATATCATAAATCACAATTTGCCTCACAGGGCTTTACAGCATACGACATCCCTCTGTCCTTTGGACCCTCACAGCGGATAAGGAAAAACTCCCCCAAAAAAACCCTTTAACTCTACATGTGCCAATTACAAACTGTCTTCAGTAGTTATATAATCAGCTGCACTAAATAAGAAAATATTTTTTGATTGCGAAATGCACTTGATTTTTGCAATTAGTGTATACCTGTGGATAAATGAGAATGCTGTTGTAAATCTTACCACTTGGGTCAGTGTATACGCTGATGCCATGAGGGTTGAATGACTCCAGATCAAAGTTTCTTGGCATGCGCAACTCCACTGGTTTCATCTGAGAATCTTTCAAATCGAGGGTGAAAATCTTTCCTTTTGCATCAGGGACTGGCATTCCAGGATACTTCAGACCCTTGAGACATAAAAAAAACTACAATTACTGCCATGTGGTTGTTTGCTTCTGCTAACCAGTTAAGTTTACAGTTTACATCAATGTCTGTGAAAACATGAGTGCTTCACACATCAAGTATCTGACCAAATGCCTCTCCTTCTGTTGAGTAACTACCAGAAATGTGTTGTTGCAGAACATTATGATGTCACCCTGAAGTTGACCTTTGACCTTATGGATATAAAATATCACCATTTCATTCTATTTGACATGTGAAATTTTGGAATAATGAGCGTATGAATTCTTGAGTAATGGCCAAAAACAAATTTTGTGAGGTCACAATAACCTTGACATTTGACCAGCAAAATCTATTCAGTTCATCGTTAAATCCAAGTGAACGTTTGTGTCGAATTTTTAAAAACTCTCTCAAGGTGTTCTTGAGATATCACATTCGCAGGAATAAGACAGACGAGGTCACAGTGACCTTGACCTATGTAATCCATTCACTGTGGGTCCAACTGGACGTTTGTGTAAAATCTGAAGAAAGAGATACTGCCTTCACAAGAATGCGACAGACATATGGACAACCCGAAAACATAATGCCTAGGGCTCCCATGGAAGCATAAATATACTTAAACAGGCAGAGAAACACTGCAAAGTGGGTTGGAAAAGGTCAGACAGGTCAAATTCTGAGGCATAATCCTTGTATAAGAGTTTTTTTTCGCTGATCTTTATCAAAAGTTTATGCAGTTTTAAGTGGGATCAGGAATTATTTTTTAAATTTAGGAGATTGTCAGAGGGATTAAAGCCAACATCAGTTTGAGGTTATGTTGCATAACAATAATAGACCTGCAAAAATTAGTTGATGGAGAGAAATGAATAATGATTGATTAATTATTTAAGTAATTTTCATGCCAAAAATTAAAAAAAATTGCCACTTATGAAAAATTCCTTCATTCCTCTGTTTTGGTCAGACAAACAAACTCCAAGAAACTGAGAGGAACTTTTTTTTCTCATAATTGTATTACATTTTATAGAGTAAATGATTTACCGATTAATCAAGAAAATAACTGGCAGATAAGATTAATCAATTAGTGAAAATAACTGTTAGTTGTAGCCCTAATAAAAATTAAGTACAGCCCCGATTACAGAAAAGTTGGAATGCTGTGTAACAAATACATAAAAACAGAATGCAATGATGTACAAATCTTTTCTGACCTATATTCAATTGAATACAGTGCATAAACAATATATTTAAATGTTCAAATTGATAAACGTTGTTTTTGTAAATATACACTCATTCTGAATTTGATGCCTGCAACACGTTCTAACAAAGTTGTGACACAAGCATGTTTGCCACTGTGTTACATCAACCGAGGACACGAATTGTTGAAGTTTTGAAAGTGATTTTTTTCCCCCATTCTTGCTTGATATACGACTTCAGTTGCTCAACAGTCCAGTGACTCTGTTGTCATATTTTGTGCTTCATAATGCACCACATATTTTCAATATGGAGACAGGTCTAGACTGCAGGCGGGCCAGTCCAGTATCAACACTCTTTTACTAGGAAGCCACATTGTTATAACACGTGCAGAAGGTGGCTTAGCATTGTCTTGCTGGAATAAGCGGGGACGTCCCTGAAAAAGACACTGTCTGGATGGCAGCCTATGTTGCTCCAAAACCTGCATGTACCTTTCAGCATTCATGGTGCCTTCACAGATGTGAAGTTAACTTTGATGCCATGGGCAGTAACACTCCCCCACACCATCACAGATACTGGCTTTGAACTTTGTGCTCCTAACAGTCTCAATGGTCCTTATTCTCTTTAGCCTGGAGGACATAGTGTCCATGATTTCAAAATCAATAGAAAATGTGGACTCATCAGACCACAGCACTTTGTGTCAGTCCATCTCAGATGAGCTCGGTCCAGAGAAGTCGATGTTGTTTCTGAATGTAGTTGATATATGGCTGTCACTTTGCATGGTAGAGTCTTAACTTACATCTGTGAATGCACTGATGAACAAATTTATCTACAATGATTTTCCAAAGTGTTCCTGAGCCTGTGTAGTTATATTCTTTGTATAGTCATGTCAATTTTTAATGCAGTGCTGCCTGAGAAGTCAAAGGTCATGGGCATTCAGTGCTGGTTTTCAGCATTACCCCTTACGTACAGAGGTTTCTCCAGATTCTCTAGATCCTTTGACGATATTATGGATTGTAGATGGTGAAATCAATGCAACTGTGCGCTGAGAAGGTGGTTTTTAAACTGCTGGACAGTTTGCCCTGGTATTTTTGTGATTGCATGACCATCTTTGCTTGGGAAGAACTAAGCCTTTTGAGGCTGGCACTTTATACCTAGTAATAATACTATCATTTGTCACCAATCAATACTGTTTACCTGTGGAATGTTCCCAGCAGGTGTTTTTTGAGCATTTTACAACTTTCCCAGTCTTTTGTTCTGTTGTTGTAGCGTGTTGTAGGCATTAAATTCAGAATGAGTGTATATTTTACAAGTTTATTGGTTATAACATCTTTAAATATCTTGTCTTTGTATTGTATTCATCTGCATATAGGTCAAACAGATTTACAAATCATTACATTCTGTTTTTATTTATGTTTTACACAAGAGTCCACAAGATTCCACTTTTCTGGAATCAGGTTTGTAAAACAGTTACTTTTCCTTTTCACATTACAGTAATGTTAGTCACACAAGTTAATGGCCCAGACAGACATATTAAGAGAGTCTAGCCATAAGGTAGGTGATAAGATAAGGTTTTATTAACCAGAAAAGCTCACTTTTCTGATTTGCACTCTTGTTTGCCTTTAACATACAGGCCTACATTTGGCTGCTCTGCAATTCAAATACTTACACTGCTGATAAAGGCAAGTCCGTTTCCAAGGATTGTTATGTCCTCTGAGCCATTTTCTGTAAACACAATAATGTTGCACAGTTAATTCTAATGTTCGCTAATGTTCGTCTCAAAATTTTGCGGCATTTTCTTTTGGCATTAGTCTCCTTACCCAGATTTTTGAGTTCAACACAGTTGGGGAGGTGACTCTGGACCAGCTCTCTGGTGGCCAGGGTCCTTTTCCTGCAATGGTTTCAACACAGACGTTACATCAGGTCAGCTGAGCACAATTTATCTTTGTTTTCCGTAAGAAAATTGTTTTGGTATTAACAGAACTGCTATTTACCTTAAGTTGACAATCCTCTCTCCAATCAGTGCTGATAAGGCAGCTATTAAAACCGACATGAAGACCAACTTTCCCATTTTGGAATCACGACGGGCAAGTTTTACAAACAGATTTTATACCAGACTACTAAACAACTCCTGCAGCCGAGGCGTGCCAGTAGGTGCTGTTTATACAGTGTGCCACAGAGAAGTTAAGCAATGCCAGGGAGGAGGCTGGACAGACCTGCATTTCTTGTGGGTGGGAAAACAAGATATGAATTACGCAATCGTTCTTTTGACGTCCAGATGTTTATGCAGTCATTTTGTGTGCATTCATCTGTCTTGCCACTCCTTTTTTGTTGCACATCTAATAAACCAAAGACAAACTACAGTTGTAGCATGACACTCCTTTATTGCTTTATTTACACTCACATGCATGGTAGCGATGTGATAAGCAATTAAAACAAGTAAACACATTTGGTTACATACAATGCATCTGTTCAGATCTCAAATTTCCAGGTGACCAGTGAAAAATATTACTTTCATGATACGCAGCAAAGCAAATATACATATGAATTTTATATGCTTGACTGAAAATAAATTTATCCTAGTGCTTATTTCACAGTGGTTCAAGTATCTGGGCAGTTCAGTAACTTCTGTGTCTGAGACCACTTTCAAATATGCTTTTGTACCCAGGACTCATTGCTGTAAAATCAGGTAAACACAGTGCATCTGTCTTTCTCCAGCTCCTCCTAGTGGGTTTATCATCAGATCCTGTCTGGTACAACACGGTGAAGCATTTTCCCCTAAAATAAGAGCTGCAGTATCCATGTATATTTTCATTCAACTCATCACTGCCTTGTCTGAGTGAGAGCTTTGCAGAGAGGTAAATCATATGTTATGGAGTCACTGCCTAATTCAAATCACAGCACAGGGCTTTGTGGAACACAGTGCCAATGAGCAACTTTCCCCCATAGGGAGCTGCTACAGAGGAGCCAATGAGCACCTGGCCGTCGTCAGCGTACACCTGAGTCACCACTGGCTCATCAGAATGAATGTTCTGGATTTTGATGACCTGAAGGAAGAATTATAACAAGGTGAATACATGTCAGACAGATTGTTTGGGTGAGCAGAATATGGCAGATAGAGCAAAATGAACATTATATTTTGTCTGTTCTTGTAATGCTGTCAGGCCTCTCACAGTTTAGTAACTGGTACAAGTGAAAGGACGAACCTCTGATCCAGCTGGGCTCTTTGGGTTATACATTAAAAGTTTCCATGCATTAGGGTGACAGCCCAACCACAGGTCTCCAGTTTCAGGTTCCACTTCAATGTTGTCACAGAGTGAACCCACAGCCACAGACTGGTGAGGAGTCGTAGACAAGGTTATGATTATACATTCATCTCGGTGTCCTGATTACCTTAAATGACAGTTCTAGCATGACCTGATTTTGTACTTGAATTGACTGACGTTAACATCTATTTGTTTGATAAAATCAAAAATACACATTTTTCCTCTTAAGGCCCGGACACACCAAGCCGACAACTGTCCCACACTGTTGCCCCTGGTTGGTCCGTGAATGAAATCACTCTGATTGGCAGTTAAGCGCAGTGTACGTGAAGAGAAACAGAAGTGAGGAAAGTAAACAAAAAAAGCTTAAGTCAAGAGGAAGTGAGACCAAAACAAACTTGTTACACGAGGTAAGATCATTTTTCTTTAGTCTCTGAGCTGTTCAGCGGAAGCGTTTCATGATGGTTTATGTTATTGTTCATTGGCACACGGTCAATATGCTTTGTTCTTTCAACACTGGATTGTGTTGTTAGTGTGTTAAATGGCTAACTAGCATCAAGATGGTCTTCCGGTGCTTTTTGAATGACAAATACAGGCTACCATTGCCTGCTGGTGTGGAGACTTATTTCCTCTCATACTAGTGCAGAATGTACATGCTAGTTGACCACTGGCTGTCGTCTTTGCAGTGTGTTCATGTGCAACTTTTTTGGCAAAGACAAAGCAATGTCAGGAGATGCAGGAGGGGGCCTCCTTTACACCTAGTTCTCTAAAGTCTGTTTGGTTTGTCTGGGCCTTTACCTGTAGTGCGATTTATCAGTCTAGATTGTTTTGGTGTGAGTTTCCGAATGTTGGAGAAATAGGCCATAGAGATGTCTGCCTTCTCTAGAATATGATGGAACTAGATGGCACTCATCTTGTGGTGCTGGTCGCGCCAAAAAATACGTTTGAAAAACTCAACAGCAATGTTTTTTTCCACTAATCATGTCCCAGTTTCTCAAGATAGTCCACAGTAGAGCGTGACTCAGGCCGCATTTTCCTCACCGAACCAGACGCAAGTCCGACAGACTTTGTGATTTTGAAGGCCGAACCCGACCCAAGCCCTACGCAGTTTATTAACTGACATAGTTATTGTTACCATGGGTACAGCTTGTTTGTTTACAGTGATCACACATGGACAGTGTGTTAATGACCATCAAAAGGCTGCTGTTACACACGCCACATGCACAGCAGTGCAGCACACATACTCAATTGGAGCAGAGCCTGTGTTGCGTTCAGGCTTTGTCACGTCGATAACAAAGTCCAGCACTTCAATTGGCCGTAGCACAACACAGCAGCATGTCAAGTGGGCTGAACCCAAACTGAACCTAAGCGGGCCCACCCATTGGGTTCTGACGGGCCTTGTTGTGAGCAGTTCTGTGTAGAAACTCTTTCTTTCTACCAAACTACACCCTCAACCCGTGTTATGGCACAGAAGGAAGCGTGCATCTACTCATGGACAACACCTGAGCCAGCTAACGTTACAACTCGGCCGAGAAGATCGCAACAATGCTAACATCTCATGCTGTCATGAGCACGAGCCTTTCATTCCATTTTATTCGGGAGAAGGCAGACATGTGTACGGTCAATATCTCCAACACTCTGCAACTTACACCAAAACAATTAAGATGAATAAACAGCACTACAGGTAAGAGGGAAAATATGAATTTTGGATTTGACGGTGAACTGTCCCTCTAATTCTGCATACATCAGCCATACTGTCATACCAGTATTTTAAAAAGAAATATTGCTAACAATTTGCTGTGCAATTTAACCCATACTTATAAGCCCTAATATCATCAGATTATAAAATTTCTTAACAATTTTTACACTTTTTTTTTACACGTATAATATTAGTACAATAATGACAAAAGTATAAACTGTTTAAAGCTGATGAAGCATAATAATTCATCAGTGATTCTTGAATATGCTGTAAGAAATCAGTACACTTTCATATTGAAGTAATTTTTCATTATTTACCTTCACAGGGACTAACGCATTGTCTTCTTTCAGCTCAAGCACATGCACTTTGTGGTCAAATAAATCAGCCACATATATATGCCTGTAAATAAAAAGAATATTAAAATGAAGAAATTCAGTCATTTGAAGTATGAATAGCTATATGCATAGCCCTCACATCATTCTTACCTTCTGTCTGGTGAGATATTAATGCCATTTGCAAAGTAATACCCCTCAGAGACCACTGTCACTTCCTCAGGACTGTAGTACACAACATTAGACCAAGGCTGAGCTAGAACAGGCTCCACCAAACCTTTAAGGATTTCATGGGTAAAGTAGTGATCATTGGTGGCATAGAAGCTATCCATTCCCACTGCGACAAGATCGTTTACACTGGAAATAAAAATTAGAAGTGAGAAAATATAGCTGCAGACCAGCTACATCTCAAGTGCAGTTCATGATAGGCACAATTATTAATCTGTTACCACACTGTACCTGTGAAGAAGTTCATGTTTTATGGTTTTCAGATGCTCCAGGGAGCGGTCGTCCTCAGCATATTTGAACAGCTCTACTTGGCTTTTGTGTTCAGGGTGATTGACAACAAACAGGTATACTGTGTCATCTGAGGAGAAACAAGGAAAGCACTGTAAATACTGGCAAACAGACTAAAAAGTATGTGTGAGTGGCTGTGAAAGTAGAGGGACATGCATGACCTCAGATAAAAAAGGGAACTATCAAAGCTACAATAACATGTAAAAGTGTCACATCTGTAGTTGTAGAGTTTCCTCAAAAATGAAGCCCATGCATTTTCCATACTAATAAACTACCGTATACTTTAAAACTACAACTACAAATTAAAAAGGAAATATTCTGATTGTGTTTATTTCTTTATAGATTTCATTTGAAAAACACTGACACACCCAAGACTGTACAAGGAACTTAGCTCGACCCATTACACCCATTGTTAATCACACAGCACGTGATCAAAACAGGTTTGTCCAGGTGCACATATTCCAAAAATACAAACTGTCTTCAGTAGTTATACAGTCAGTTGAACTGAAAAAGAAATTATTTTTGTACTGCAAAATGCACTTAAATTTTTGCTGCTGACAAATGTAAATGCTGTTGCAAATTTAAAAAGTCTAAACCCCCTGAACTAAGGTGTTTGCCCTGAAGGTGTTATCTTGTAGAAACTTGTGAGCGTCTGTGACATGTGTGCAACCACACATAAATGCTAAGTGCTTTTACCACTTGGGTCAGTGTATACGCTGATGCCATGAGGGTTGAATGACTCCAGATCAAAGTTTCTTGGCATGCGCAACTCCACTGGTTTCATCCGAGAATCTGTCAGATCAAGGGTGAAGATCTTTCCTTTTGCATCAGAGGCCGACATTCCAGGATACCTCAGACCCTTGAGACATAAAGAAATACTTAAGTATGCAGAACATATAAAACACTGCAAAGTAGGCTGGTGCCTAAATTACACAATTTTCTGTGGTTTAAGAAAAGCAGACAAACGAAATAACCTTTATGGAAAGTTTGTACAGTTTTAAATGGGATCAGGAAGGATTATTTATTCTTTTACGAACATCAGTGGGATTAAACAAAAAGTAATTTTAGGCTGTGTTGCAATTTTATAATAGAGCTGAAACAAATAGTCAATTAATAATAAAATAATAACAATAAAGTAAATCAAATAATTGAGGGACCAAAGATGACACTTTATAATTAAATAAAATAAAAAAAACATATATAAGCCTCTCAAATATTAAGGATTCTTGCTTTTCTCTTTTTTAAACATTGAATATCTATATCTATATCTATGACCGTTGGCCAGGCAAACTCCTAGAAAACTTTCTTACACTTTATAATCTGGACTCAAATACTTACACTGCTGATAAAGGCAAGTCCATTTCCAAAAATCGTTATATCTTCTGCGCCATTTTCTGAAAGCACAAAAACGTTGCACATTAATTTTAACGCTCGCTGATGTTCGTCTGAGCATTCTGCGGTATTTTGCACAGGCGTGACTTGCCCAGGTTTTTGAGTTCAACACAGTTGGGGAGGTGATTCTGGACCAGCTCTCTGGTGGCCAGGGTCCTTTTCCTGCAATGGTTTCAACACTGATGTTACATTAGGTCAGCTGTACACAATTAAACTTTGTTTTGCTGAGAAAAACAACAACTACTACTGCGTTTTCCCGGCAGAAAAACTCGGGATCAGACACGGTTATATATCTGTACCGTCTCGGTATTAACGGAGTTTCTCTCTGTGTACCTGAAGTTAACAATCCTCTCTCCAACCAGCGCCGATAAGGCTGCGATTACAACCGAGATACAGACCAGCTTTCCCATGTTGGAATGACGGTTTAAAAGTTTTGCAGACAGCTTAAACACCAGACTCCTGCAGCCGAGGCGTGTCACAACAGGTGCAACTAATGCTGCCTTCACGACTGTCGGAAATATGTGTTTTCATATGCAAATACTCCAGTTACTTATGGCATCTTGCCATTTCAACGTTGTCATTTGACCTGATAAACATCTTGCATCTGTGGGACTAGTGTTGTCAGAAATATCGATTTATCAGTATTGATTTAAAATATTTTTTAATACTAATACTACTAATACTAATTTTCCACCATACTGATCCACTGGTACCACCTGTGCTCTCTGTTATTGTAATGTTTACTACACTCATTCTGCTGCTCTCTGCTTCTAAATGAGAAAAGAACAAATTTCATATTAAAGCTTTGTAATATTTATCTTTTTTTTTTTTTTTTAAAGAAAATTGCTTATATGCTCTTGGTCAGGGGCGTAAATAGAAATGGTGCTGGCAGGGCTGATGGGATGAGGGGGCCCACAGAGAGAGTTGGCCCTCCCACTATATGTTGGGCAGAAAACAGGCCCTTGTGAATAATTTGGATTGCTACATAAGAAATATTCCTGTGTTCAAAGTAAAACTCTGTTTGCTATTTGCTGTATGTGCCTTTGTAAAGGCAACCCCACTCCAATATGTGTTTATTTTCTTTTTTGTAAAATGAAATATACAAAATATGTTATAAAATATATGCTTACTCTCCATAAACTGCAAATAAACTATAAAAAACTTAACAATTAATTGAGTAATCTCTTATTTACAGTGGTATAATAGGAGCCAGAATGTGTATTTAAGCTCTGTTTATTATTTGTTTCGGCTGCACACGTTCTTTTGGTCACTTTCACTAGTTGTAACTGGCACAGGGGTGGGTGTGGTTTCACATTATTTGACCTGTTCATTCACTGGCAGCGTTTAGACAAAAAGGGTGAGTTTTTGTCTCCGGTATTTTCTGTTGACCATAATCACATCACGTACTATTTTGTTTCACCTAATTTTGCTTTGATTATCTCAGTTGTTTGTTTAATAAAATCATTAAATGCATCTTTGGACTTCAGCTTGGACTTTGTAAGGGCCCACTTAGCCTCTTAGCGGCTTTTTTCATTGAGTCGCTACAGGTATATTTGTCATATATATGCGATAAAGATATGTAATGATAAGATTATACAGAAGCTAGTTAAGGTGCATAACTAGTAACTAGTGCGGCTTAGGGCCCGTCATAATAGCGTGCCCTGGGGCCCGTTGTGACTACCTTACATTGACACCTTGGTGTCAATTTTTCCTTTTTGTATCAAAAAAGGTAGTGCTGTAAAAATTCATCTTGATCGTAACATTAAAATGACATTTATGTTGAGCAGATGAAATTTATGTTTTATGTTAAAAAAAAAAGTTTCACAAAAAGCACCTGAAACGTGCTTGAAACCAGACGTGTTTTAGTTTTGTGATTTCCCACATATGAATTACACCTGAACTCACCATGATTTAAACTGCTGGAGCCACAGTTGAAAGTATTCATGTGTTGGTATGTTGCCCTCAGTATGTTTCAGTCCCTGTGAGATAGCACCGCAGACATAACATGATTTCTACACAAAGTACTGTCCTTGTAATTGAGCGTCCAAATGGACTTTAACTGCACAGCTGTGCAATAACTAATAACTGAAGTCTTACGTAGGCCTATTGGCATTATGGCAGGGGTCATCTAGGGTGAAGTCAGGTCATGTGGGACACTGTGGTTATAGATAACATATCAGCCAAGGAAACCTCCTAAAACTCTTAAGACTACCTGCGAGTGTTACTTTCAGGGCTTGTTATGAACTGTGCTTTATTTCTGTAAAGAAAATATGTTGCCATGTAAAATAATGGAAAAACTTTGGACCTCTAAACACAGTGAGAGCCCCTATCTCAATGGCATGTTCAGGTAAAATGGGACAGTCATGTTTCATCACTGACAAACATTTTTGTCCACATGGATGGGTTTACCCAAGTTGGCCCCACATAGGTTATGCTAGTGCATCCTGGGTACCAAGAGGGTATGGTATGGTATGGGTCCAAAATTGGCATCTTATCTGGGGTCCACTTAGATAACCCACCCATGGGGCCAATATTGAACCTGTGGACAGAGCCATTGGGGGCCCATTTTTCAGCCTACTTACTACACACATGGGCCCCACATATAAATGTTGGCTGGGTATTATTATATTATTACTGAAATCAGTTGCTCTTCCTGAGGTTTCTACCAATTTCTTTCCCTGTTAAAGGTTTTTTTGGGAGTTTTTCCTTATACATCATGAGGGTCCAAGGACAGAGGGACACAGGGATGAGCCCAAGAGCCCAAGATGAAAACCTTATTTATAAAACCTTATTTGCCCCACAAGTCTTCACCCCACTTGCATTACCTGACTAGACCACTCCCCCAAGATTATAAAACTCCACCCTTCAGGCCTGTGACTCTTTTCCCCTCCAAACATGCCAAGTAGAACAAAGAGAGGGCTGATGTGTGTGCATATGGACTTTTCACTTTAATAAAGTTTTACTTTGTTAATCCTGTACGTATTATTTAAAGTTAACAGATTGTTTTGTGTCACTGTTCTAAGATTCCTAAGTTTAACCTGTAGTTGTATGAAGAGAAAGAGTAACACCATAACATGCATAAATGATGTCAATTAAATGATACCTAATTTACTATTATTTTCATTATTATTGTTTAACATTATGCAGATATAGAAAAAAATCATCCGACAACCACCATTGAAGTGTTCAATTACCCTGTCTGTGATAAAATGTTGAAACAGCTCCCTGGATCCTGCGTGTTCGTGTGCACCCCATCAAATATTCTAAGAGCAAGCGGCAGCTAGTTTTTTCAGCCCCTTTAAGTTCCGTATCACCTTAGCACTGCCTGGTTTGAGCTAGCCTCAGTTCTTTTCCATCAGAGAATGTATGTGTGAGCCCTGCAGACTTATTTTCCTCTTTACTGTAGTTAGTGTGATATAGTCTGGGGTGTGCATGTCCTCCCTGTTTTGGCCAGTACTGACAGGAAAAGGTTTGCTCATTCTTTTGATGCTCTCTCGAAATTTGTAGAGAGACACATTTTATGCCTCCATACTTCAATGATAACAATAAAAAAAAACACTGTAGAAAATGATTAAGGATAAAGGCACTGCACTCTGTTCAGATGTGACTGTATGAACACAGAGCGAGAAAGCTGGGGAATCCACTCTGCTTTGATCACACACTAAATCATTTGGTGCCAAAATTAATTCATTATCAAAAGGCAAATTGTCCCATGGGATATGCTGACTACACTCCTCTATTATGAATTCTCTCACATTGCCAGTGCGACTACTCTACAGACGGTATACTCAATAACATGTCGTGCCTGCAAAACCTGTTTAAATTGTTTATTTTTGAAGTTGTTTTTGTAGGTGATGACTCCTCCCAACATAAAACAAAAAGTTACAAAATTGTCTATGTAATCAAAATCATGTGTAAGAGACTTCATAAAAAACAAACATGAACACATACATACACATATAGAAGTGAAAGTAACATAAAATTGGCAAACTATTGACCCTGTGATACTCAGCATTGGGTGCATGCAACCTGACAGTAACTGTAGAATATCTACAAAAGTCCAATTAAAGAATTATAGCATCTAACAACTTCAAAACACCAACAACTCCTGCACATTACATCGTGTGCAACCGGCGAGCACTGTTAGGTGGGGCACACCAGATTCCTGACTCTTGTTATGTGAAGTCTTGTAAAGGTTCACAGTGTAATACAGCAGGATCCCCATCAAACAGTTTCAAGCAAGACTGTATATTTGGAACATACAAAATAAATTTTATTATCCATTCTCTTCATGTCTACATCTTATTAGAGTTTCTAGACAATGGCATTGTCAAATAACACACCCAAATTAATTCTAATAATCCTGACAGGTGCAACAATACATTTCTGTCAAGTCCAGGTGTCAAAATATAACTGAATGTGAAAAGCAATTTAAATCTTCTTCTTTGTTATTTTCAACATAAAAAGGGGAGCCATGGCCCTGGGCCGCAGTGAGAGCTAGGCAGGACAAGGCCATGAGCACACATAAACACGGGTGAGGAAGTGGCTTCAGGGTTGAGCCCCGGTGGCTGCGGGGACTTGTGTGGCCAGAGTGTTGGGAGCAGAGATGACGGGTGATCCAGCAATGTTAGCCAGCGGCTGTGAGGAGGACATTGAGGTGATGCCTGAGGAGAGACAGTGGGCTCGTTAACCATTTGGTAACCATTCATATTTACATGTCATCACAATTGGATATAAATATAGAGATATAACTTTGATTGCAGCCAATGAAACAGTCAGATTGTGATGTAGCGTTTCTTACAATCTGACCATTTCTCCAGCTGCATCTCTAATTGTCCGCCCAAATTAGTCAGAAAACAGAGACATAGTCTGTCACAATCTTATTTCAGCTATTTTTAAAAGACATAACATTCTCAAAGAAGCTTGATGCAAAATTCCGAGCATTCGAGTTGTCTGGACACGGTTCTCAACATGGAGGTGGCTGAGCTGGTGGCTAGCAGCTAACAATGCTAACTCCATAGACAAAGCTAAACCACGGCAACAATGCCAACTGTGCTAACAATGTTAACCATTGGGGAACCAGAGGGTGGGCGCTACACTTCCACAACAACGCTGTCCCAATGGCAGTGATAACTGCCGTCTGAGCCCAATGCAAAGCAGCTGTGATAAGCCAGCCAGCGGCAGACACATAAATCAACATGCACGCAAGACTGGACCAGCTTAAGGCTGATTATACTCCCTTTACGTATAAAAATATATACTTTCATTGCAAATGTTGTGACTGTCACTGCCTTTATGTTGGCATAGATACATCCACTGCATGGCACTAGAAGGCAGAGTCAAATGTTTCTGACAACAACAAACATGGCGACGGTGGAGAAAGTTGTAATTATGTGCCTTTAACAGAGGCAGTGTTGTAGATGGTGGTGGTCTGTGAGGCCATTAAATACACTGTGAGGTGGACGGAGAAGTCT